TCTGTGCAATACTGTACTAACTGCCACTCAAAATTTTGTACTATTCAGTTTGTACTGCTGCTCACTCCTGCCACTTTATCTCATGTGCAATATCCCATTTGCTTTCTTTTTAAACTACAGAAGTCTCTTTAAATGGCCACATGATGGTGCTGCTGTATTGGCTCAAAAAGATTCGGTTAACTCCACCAAAGTTTAAATATTTAAATTACACATCACATAAAAATGACATAGTAAAAGATTACCTGGTCCTAAGCAAGTCTTAAAATTCTATGAATACAACCTTACAGCTGCAACAGAAATCAATGTTAAGAGAAACAGCGGGAATAGTATCTTTACATTGTAAGGTAAAGAGCCTGCAATGATACAGGATTCTTAATTCACTAATTCGTTTTTTGTATAGAGCATTGTACATCTGAACAAAATGTCTTTTTTGGGTGGTTTATCTTGTTCTCTCTCTTGATTTTGTTTTACACAGTGGAGAAGTATTTTCCTCATCGTGCTTGCATATTTGTGGACCTGAAGAGAGCGTTGCTGACTACAGACAACTACAGACAGTTGCAGTGCGAGCGTATGTGTAGAAATGTGGTGGGTTTTGATGTTTCTTATACTCCCCACAGTAAATAAACAACCAGAGATCAGATCGCCGGGGTCCTTCATTCATGCACTTAGCCTTGCGGGAACTACAAGAGGGCGGGCCCTGACAGGGTAGACTGGTCCCTTGATTTAGTTTCTGTCATAGGGGTTGAGTCTTGGTCAGACCCCTTACCCAGGACCAATTTGCCTTGGGAACACCCAGCAGGCCAAGAGGCTCTGTCATTTTCAGGAGGGCATAATGCTGCTAAAATACTTAGTAAGTGATACAATTCAACAGTTCTTGATGTTTATGTATAAAAGAGGCAAATCTGAGTTGGACCTGGAACAAACCAGTTACAAAGACCTGGAAGAAGAACTTAACCAGTTAAAAAACAGTTATAATGATCTGGCTAAAGTGCGAGAGCAGCTACAACAAAAACTTGAGATCATAAGGACAAATGAGCTTCCGAGTAAGTTATATATTTCTTTGTTCTTGTTGGGTTAACGTCATCACTGAAAGTGATCTGTACATACCTACGTTTAGCCATCAGCAGAAGGGCTACAGTGTTTGCATGCATGTAATGTTTGCAGCTGTTGTAAATGCTGTAAGTCTAAAAGATGACCTTTGACACTTTTTTCCTCTAGCCTACAAAAGGCCATCTTAACATTAATGTATCACCAACGGTCTTAATGCAAAATATGACAACTGTCGATCAAAAAACTATTGCAGTGACAAAAATCTCACTACCATAAACTCGTAAGAGTCTATCAAGGTTCTCTGAATTGTGTACAGTATGTTCAAACCTGCACAGTGACATTTGTTCCAGATTTTTTTTTTATTAGTGTTGCTTAAAATACAACTTACACTTATCATTTTTAATGAAATAAAGTAGTTCCCTCTAAAAGTCAGAGTCACAATACACCTTTGAATCCATGAGTAAAAACGTTGTGCATTATTTTTGTCCTCCTCTGGAGATCATGAAGGTGAATGCAAAATCCAGTATATCCAGTTTGCTGACAGTTAAAATATTTCACTCTAAGCTTAAACTTCATACACTATTTGTTAACTTTATTTCCCATTATTATTAGTGCAAAATATATTTCACTAGAACATTGTCCTTTTATCAATTTTTTCCGGTCACAGCTACTGGTACCATCCACAGCCTGACAATGGAGGAGGCGAACATATCGAAGAGGATTGTGCCAAGTTACTAAATTACAACAGTGATATGTTACTCAAATGGAACGACATACTTGCTTAAAAACTAGTCACTGGATTTGTGAAACTGCCTTACTGTCTTGACAAATGTCTTAATGTTATTTTTCAAAAATATAAAATCTCTTACCACTGTCACAGAGATGATACCCTGTTTCTCTTTCAAGTACAATCAACATTCAGACCTTCGCTGCATTGTACACATAATCTGTCCAAAATATGTTTAAATCCATCAAAAAAAAAAGTACTACACAGTTCAGCATGAAGCACTTTACTTTAAGCTGGAAGAAGCAGGCCATGTGACATGTCATCATGTATCATACTGTATCGCCCAAAAGTATTTAATACAACTTTAGTCTTTTTGCAATATATCAAATATATTGTTGTTCATTTTATTTTTTCCCATGTTTCCATGTATGTATTTGTTTTTGTTTCATCTATTTAGATATAATGCTATTTGAATGAAAGTTTCACGGCGGGGTTTGCCGGTGTGTTTGAAAACCGGACCCAAAAGCAGATGGTTAGAGAGGAAGTAACTAGTTCACTTCCCTCCACTGTGAAAGACTGCGCTGAGAAGACGCACCGCAGCTCAACTCTGTGAGAGAACAAAAAGAAAATCACAGACAAGACAATGATGGAAATGTGTCAGTGGCATTTACTGTACTATGAATATAAATCATGTATTCTATTTAGATGTTTAAACTGTACATTGTACTTGCATATCAGACTAGACTGAAGCTGAAACTAGGATCATACTGTGCAAATAACTCTAGTGACTCCTAGTGCTAGTTTCAGAAAAGACACTCTATGGCCTAAAATACTAGACATTTTAATTAATTCACATTTGCTCTTCTAAACTGCCTGATCAAATACATTAACTTAATACAATATTTTAAAAAGTTTTAAACGTTTATTTCTTGTACCCTTTCTTCACAGTGGCAAAATTGGAATTAATACTGTTATCAAATACATAAATACCTGTTTAGTAATTGATTCTGAAATACAATTAGCAATATGCACCAGGAGTCATTGCATGAAAAATCCTGGGACATTTGTATAATAAGGAACTATTTTTGCATTTTTTAAAAACCCTTCAATTTTTAGACACAAACCCCCAAATTTCCCGTAATCAACCTGTGGGCAACAACAGAAAATTTTTTTTTAAAAATTTATAACGTTTCATTTCAAGCCTGTCCCTCTCATCCTTAAGTCTTGTTATGTTGTTTAGGATGCAAACTGAATGTTGCATCCTCAATCTAAGCGTTAAAGCATGTCTTGCTTTGGAGATAATTGCAACTCACAACCTTTTTGCATGTACTATTTCTTTGTCTTCGTTATACCTTTGCAGTCTTTTTCACAGTCATGCTCAAGGAAACTTGAACATGTGCACCTGAGCCCAGTGTGACTGTTGGAGTTGCACAGTTGATGATGTGTGTTACATCAGTCTGTTACCTATACACTTCCACTTCCAAATAATGCAACATCAACCATTAGGTAATTGGTTTTCACTGTCAATGTTGACACTAAATTCAAATGTAAAATGAGTCTTTTGCTGTTTCACACTTTGGGTTCTAGTGATCAGCTGAGTTTTGTGATTTGATTCATGATTAATCGTAGTATTCGTAGGGTTCATTTTCTTTCCTGTCAGTTTTGTTTCCTGTCTAGCTCTCCCTGATTGTCTGATGCTTTTAGCCTTCAATGTTCACTTTTTAAAACTTCATCCCTGGCTGTTTGTGCCTCTGTAAATTATCTGAGATAATCATTTGGAAAACTGAACTTTTACCACACTCTGTTGCTTCATCAGGAAGATTACGTAGTCTCAGCTTTGTCATCCATCACTGCGAGTTATGCAATGTTGGAAATTTTGGTTTGTCACCTCAAGCATTACCATTCAAAACATTTTTATTGTTGCTATTCTTTTCCCACATGGCTGCATGCCTAAGAAGAAAAATCTTTTCCATTTATTTATTTATTCTGCGGCCTCACAACCTTTTTTAACCACAACATTTTTACTGCCGTCGATGGTACTGTTAGTAAATGGCATCTACAATTCTGCAAACAAACATTTTAATAAATGACCTTGTGTTTCTAGTTTTAAAAGACTTAAGTACATTAATATTAAAATGACTTGCTAAATATTATCATGTTTAACAAAACGAGTAAATGCTGTCCTTAATTATAATTTGTATGGTCTTAATTTATCGCATATTATTTGTCATTATGCTGAATTGGGCTTTTCACAATATCAGGTTTCACTGCAATTAAGATATCGCTATGTGTCTGAAAAATATAAAATATAAATGCTATGAGCCACACAGAGGTTGGTTTAGATTTGATTGGGCAATATATTGTCGTAATAAAAATTAACCAGTGGGCTGCTATCAGTGCTTGTAGGGCCAGTGCACAGTTGCCCTTCAAGCCAGCCTGTAGCCTGTATAATTCCAGGCTATAGGCTGGCTTTTAGCCTGTAAAAAGTGCAAAATATATATAATGACTCATTCAATTCAGTTTTATTTATATATACCAAATTACCAGTCCAACCCTATTTATGGGTTACTTTAAAAAAAAAGGAAGAAGGTTCACAAGGTATTACAGGAAGCAAAGGAATTGATTAAATAAAAGAGAAAACAGCTGCACTTTAAAGGCTCGAGGTACAATTCTGCATAAATTATTCATAAGCAATCCATAAAGGTTAGTTATAAATATATTTAAAATAGATTAAATCACTGAGTCCTCCAAATTTGACCACCACCTCATCCACACTGGATCAAACTCCTATGGTTCCTCCCGTCGATTGTGGATGCATAGCAGGGCTGGCCCATGTGCCCTGGCTGATCATCATCGGGAAAGGCCAGACTACCAGACCCACTACCACTGTTGCCTTTTCCATAGTGTTCTAAAGAACTGCTTTTAGCATTAGTTTTCCTTGGGAGACCCTATACTACAGACAAACTGCCACCTGCAACAAATCGCTATTAACTATGGCAGACAAATCCCCCCCACCCCCAATAGAATTACTGGTTTTGGAACACTGGGTGTTCCCCCAGAGGAACTGGTACATTGGAAGTGGGGGGTGAAGGGTAAAACCTATGTAATACTGAGCAAAGTGAAGGACAGAAAGAGGAAACAAGCAAACAGAAAAGTATAAAAGAAGAAGTGGATTCTACATCATCACTGACACTCTCCAGGCAGTTGTTTAAAAGATGGCAAGAGTTGCCCATAGAGAGCAACTAGAGATTACTATGGATTATGCAAATCTGCCTGATGTGTCAGACAGAAGTCGCTCTAATAAACACAGCCAAGGGGCTGCTGCTGCTGCACCAGGTAAGAAATAAATCATTTTGATTTTTTCTTTAATAGCAACGAAAAAAACACATTTTTAAAGGTATATTTTAAATGAAGCAATAATTGATGTACACGTATTACTGATGTATACATAATTTGCATTGAAAACTCTTACTGATTTTGCTGTTTTGTGAGCTAATAATGAGCTTTTCTCTCTTCTGTATTTATTTGGGCAGCACGGTGGTTAGCACTGTTGCCTCATAGCAAGAAGGTCCTGAGCTCAATTCCACCATCAGGCTGGGGTCTTTCTATGTGGAGTTTACATGTTCATCCCGTGTTTGCGTGGGTACTCAGGCTTCCTCCCACAGTCAGAAGACATGTAGTTAGTGGGAATAGGTTAATTAGAAAAACTACATTGCCGATAGATGTAAATGTGTGAACCAGGGTATGGGATGTATAGCTATATACAGAGCAATTGAGTAAACAACAAAAAATATTTTCACAGAACTGCACAGAAAAAAAATGTAGACCATCAATACTACAAAAGCATAAGCATACAGAAACTTGCATCGAAGGCGCTCGTGGGTTACAGGGAAAGAAGTGCCATGCTGTGTCCATCTTCTGCATTCTGTTCTCTCTTTCCTTTGCAAAACCATTACACATTCTTACTCCACCATGCTCGCAAATTGATGTAACTGTTTCAAGTTTTACAGTTGTTTTTACATAACTAATCCCCATAATTTTCAACTAAAATGCTTTAACCAGGATCATCATCCACATAAAGAAAATTCATTTAAAATAACTTTCCAAACAATCATTGTTTATACTGCATATTCGCCTAATATTTAAATGAAAACATGGAAATGCAGATATCTTTCAGTTTTGTGAGTTTGTCAGGTTTCGATGAGTAAGGTTAGCCCAAAAATTCTGCAGACCTGTTTCTTTAAAGAGGCTACTTAAAGAGGACTTTTTATATGGTTGTGTTGCAGGGAGAAAACTAGCCAGACTGGTTGCTGTTAGCTTTGGACTCCTGTGTATCCTCCAAGCTGCCATCAACATCTCCCTACGTTTTGCTTTCTGTAAGTAGCGTAATTAAACGTTTAAACACTTTTTTTACAAATCAGATATTGGAACAGAGTACTGCCCTAGTTTAGTTTTGTTGTTGTTGTTGTTGTTGTTTTTGTTTTGTTGTTGTTGTTGTTGTTGTTTTATCACTGTGTACATCATTGATTAATGACAAGATGAAACATTTGTAGTCCTGTGTCTAGTTTTCATTTAGCTCACTAATACTGAGGGCAAGGAATTGTAATATGTACTGCTAGAATTAATAGTTGTTTGACATTCAGACAGAGAAAAAAGATTTGGGGAAGTTTAGATTCAAAAACATCAAGTCAAAATGCAACCAAAGAACCCCTAAAGATTGCGTTAGAAAAAGAAAGGGACTTTCCAGTTAAAGTCATGTTTCAGTTTTTGAGTACCAAAAAACTCAAAATAAAGCCATAGTCATGAGGTACTTACATTTCGCTGTGACACAAAATGTTTTCCAGTATCGGTTTGAAGAAAAAGTAATTTTAGGCTTTTTTTGTAGGGAGGGCTTGTCTTACATTCTGTTGACAACATGTTTCTGCTTTTGCAGACAGTAAAACATCATGTATTAAGACAGTGGAGACCGAAGAGCTGAAAAACCTCACTGGTAAGCATGAGTTTGTAAACTTTGTAAAGAGGCCTTTCATACACATATATGTATATATACTAAGGGTTAATAATATCAACACTTTGGTATACCTGGGTATCATGTAGGATATATTACAATAAATGAGTCTTTTTTATGGCTAATCAAATTAATGCAACATTCTCAAGCTGTAAATGATATTTACATTCAAATGGTTACAGCAGGATTTTGTTCTGTGGTAGGCGGCATGATTTTATTCACCATCTAGAGTTAAATGAAAATTTACACCAACTTAAACTTAACATGTTACAGCGTTTTACATCTCACTGTTTGTATTTGACTATTTTTACCCTTGCAAGGCCCTTCCTCATTAGCAAACATTGTGTAAGTGCTGTAAGCAAGACTTACAATACTTAAAGGAGATCTATTTAGCTCATGTCCAGCTTTATAATTCTTATTCTTGGACTCTGCTTAAATTGCTGTGCTTTTCGCAGTCTATAATACCTCTTAGGCCTCTTATGTTCAGCATTCTTGCGGCCTCTTGGTTTATCTTTTATTTAAAAAACAAACACTTTCCCTTTTAAGAAGACTCAAAGCATTTGAACTGTGACCACAAAGGCCCTGGGTTGACCTTATTAGGAATATCATCTCTAAATGACAACATACTGATCACAGCAAATTAATAAATAAACAAATAAATAAAGCAAAGACTGCCTCTGAAGTCTGATAATTTTGCTTAAAGAGATTTTTTACATAAGCTGACTATTTAAAATGTTCTAATTTTTAACAGGAGCCGAACTTTAGAATAAAACTGTTAATGTAAATTTATGTGTTAATCTCTGAAATATTAAATGTTGTTTTTTTTCTCCAACAACAGATCAATATTTTCAACAAGGATGGGTCTATTTCCGCCCAAGTTTCTATTATATTTCCTCTATTGCGAAATCCTGGAAAGACAGTAGAGACGACTGTTTACAGAGAGGTGCAGACCTGGCAATTATCAACACCAAAGAAGAGCAGGTTTGTGAATGTGACGTAATAATAATGGAAAGAAATTCATAAATACGTGATTAGTTCCATTAATTAATTATTTACTTTTGATTTGCTAGGACTTTACAAGAAACTTTAAAAAAGTCATGTGGATTGGATTAATTGAGACAGCCATGAAAGGGACATGGAAATGGGTGGATGGGACTCCACTGAGCAAAAGGTTTATACATTATTGTTTTATTCTACTTTAATCAGTGGCAAAACTAAGGCTACGTTCACACTGCAGGTCTTAATGCTCAATTCCGATTTCACACTACAAATAAAATGCGACAACAAACGCGCTCTATAGTGTGAACGCTCAAAGCGGCCCGCATGCGCAAAAGAAGTAATATTGTGTGACTGATGGCCCTTAATATAAAGACTTCGGACTTTACGTTTCCCAATTTTTGCTTTAAGTTATTTTGTTATTTACATAATAATGTAGATAACCTAATAATTATCCCCATTGCTGTTTTAGAGAAGCGGTGCTTCAAAGGATAGTTGCAGATTTCTGTCAGAATCTGCAGATTATACAGTACAAATAAAATGTTCACGTTTCTCCAATGCTGTCTTCCCAACAGTTTCACTGACATCTACACGGGATGGCCAGGAAGCATTCGCGATGTCTTCTCGGGCGCTTCTCCGGAGCTGATAATTGGCGTCTGTCTTGTGTCGGTGACGTAAAAGACGGATTTAATGCGACTTGACCGTTCAAACAGCAGTCGCTTTCTAAAACATCGGATATGTATCGGATTCAGTACCACATACGAAAGTGACCCAGATCGGATTTGAAAATATCGGATTTGCGCGTTCACACTGTCATAACATGATCGGATATGGGTCGCATAGGGTCAAAAATATCGGATTTGATGCGCTTTCGCCTGCAGTGTGAACGTAGCCTAATGCCCTCACATATTGTTGTGCCAGATTACAATACTGCCGTTTATTTAAGGAAGCTATTTGAATTTTCTAACTTTCTAACTTGTCCACATTATAGTGAGCTGCATGCATCCTGGATTAAATTCTCTGTTTTGTTTGTTTTTCAGTTACTGGGGACCTGATGAACCCAATGGTTTTGAAGGAAAAAATGAAGACTGTGTCGAAATAAATTTTTTTGATTTCGAAAACAGCTGGAATGACATACCATGTGAAAATCAAAACTTCTGGATCTGTGAAAAGAAACTGGTTTCTTAAGTAAGCCAGTAACATCGTGCAAATACACTTCCTCATCTGAAGGCTTAAAATCACATTTCATGTGCAAATGCCTAAAAGCTGTCTCACAATCCTTTGACTGCATACTGCATATGTGAGCAGTGATATTGCATATGTGCATATGAACATGTGATATTGATGAGATAGTTTTGCTGTTTTTCAAACTCACACACACAATTTGTGAAGTGCAGTAAGTTTGATCACACAGTTCAACATCTTAAATGACTAAAATAACTAACTACAAAGTCTGGTTGGTATGTTTAATTGTCTGCAATTTCTCTTTTTACATGTTGAATTTTCTTTGCTGCATAACAAGGACGACTTTAACAGCACTCTTACAAATACTCAGAACAAGAACTCACCGAAGATCTAAGAGTTGTAGATTGAAGTGGAAGATAGAAGTTGAGAAAGTCTCTCGGATCCATTTATAAAACAACTGCAGATTTCAAGATAATTGGTTCAAACAAATGTGTAAAAGTACAAGTTATTCCAAAGAGTAACCACTTTGCCAAGGTCTCAAAATAGACCTACACGCTCACATTTAAATGTGACAAAAATGCAAGGAACTAAGAAATCAGGAAGGGCACAAATTGTTTTTTCAAAGCACTGTATGTAACGGTCAATAAATGTATTTACCAATAATCATGCCTCTTCTGTCCAAATGCAACCTTGAAAGATTAATGCATGCTCTTATAACCTTTCTGCCATGTACTTTTTTTATCAGAATTTGCCAGGCCTGCATTGCTTGCCTACGGCTGGTGTAAAATGCTGCAGCTTGATTTTTATGTGGTGCAAGCAAGCAAGATCATGCCACCTCAAATCTTAGCCTCCCTTCAATGGCTTCCAGTTTGTTTACTAATCTATTTTAAAAGGCTTGTTGTGGCCCCTTTTATCTGTGCCAGCTGCTGGAAACATATGTCCCGTCTCGTTCTCTAAGATCAGCAGACCAGATGCTTTTGCTCGTTCCAAAGATGCAACACAAACTCAGAGGTGATAGAGCTTTCACAATTTCACATCAGACTTCTCTCTTTGCCATTTTTAAATCTCTTTTGAAGACACACTTTTACGCCCTGGCCTTCGGACCAGTTGAAAAGTTCACTGTGACCTTGAGTTACTTTTTGTGTACTCCTTTATTGTTTAACTTCTACTGCTGTTTTGTGTTTCTATATCTGTTACCCTCCGGCCTGTGTTTGTCTTTTATGTTTGGTGATATTGATAGGCCATGGTGGTGTTTTTAAAAGTGCTTAATAAATAAAGTAATACGGTATTGTATGGTATATTTAAAATAGAAGCGGCAGTCAAGTAGCTGCTGCAAACAGGTTAAACAGAAAAAGACAGTCACCTTTAAAAATAATTGCATCAGTCATCAATTTCCTGTTGAGCAGACACACATAATTGGGCCTCTTTTAGAAGGTGTTCCTTATTAGAGTATTAGACAGGCACTCTCTACAAACTGCCACCTTCACATTAGACATCGACAGTTCTAGAATGGAAATGGATAATATCTATGCTAATGTTGATGGATTTTCAGGAAAACACAGCAGGAAGAAGTGGGAGACACACGATTCACAAAATGTTTATGGTAATGTGTTGCTTCACAACCAAACTGATGCTGCACCCTCAGGTAATACATCTGTTGAGGAATATAACACATGTGTTTGAAAACCTGATTGAAAGTTTATGAATTTTTGTGATAATTTTCACCCAGGTGTTGACAGACGTGATAACACTGCAAAGAAATAATTGTTAGATCCAGCACATAGGTTTAGAAACCATTCGAGTCAGCTTAGAAGTGTAATTTTTGTGACTGGCAACCCCAGAAAACTATGTGTACTAACCAAGTTAATACATACAGTGTATGAAATAAGGCAACAATATGGTATGTCATGCATGTAAGTGTAAATAATGCAGTGTAAGTACACAATGATTTGGTGACTGGGTTTGAGTTAGTGTCACAGTAAAAAATTTTCATGTACGCTTCTGCAATGATCAACTTCTGCTGAGGTAAGTGTGCAAATATGTGTATAAATTTAGAACATGACTTTTTAAAAAGATGATCATTGTTCTTCTTTGACCCACATTAAAGAAGAAAAAGCAAAAAAAAATTAATGTGGTCTAACTTTTTTCAGCCCTGTACTAATGACATAAAAACAATGTAATAATTAATTTCATATTAAAAAGGTAAAAGATAAATGAATAACATGTGATTACCAAATAAATACCCAAGAAAGCCTACCACTATCACTATTAGTCTAACATTTATTATGGGAAACACATTCAAGTGAATGAGATTAAATAATTTAGCAATGCCTAGATTATATTTGGGTAACAGTATCATAGCTTGCTAATAATAATACTGCATTCTATTTGTATTTGGATACAAATAGTAAGGTAGCCTCAAGAGAAAACTGAAACCTGCGCTGAGGTAATGAAAACCATGCTTGTACTGATGAAAGCTGTGCTGGCTTTTATTCTCATGTCAAAATTCAACTCACTCTAATAGATGTGATGTGAAGCTTTGATAAAACGTACATTCATTTGGAAGAAAACAAATAATACATTTCTGGTTTTCTTCAGCGTCTGGACATGCAAAGAAGGATTCCTGCAGAGCTGCTATAGTGTTTCTGGCTCTGTTGTGTCTTCTCCTCCTGGCTGGACTCATTTATATGGTTTTCTTATGTGAGTATTTTTTTGGTATGCTGATGATGCCCTAAGGAGATAACTGGTTGATTTTTTTCTTTATTTGTTTATGTGTCAAATGCAGATACCAAGAGCAACTCTGATTGGAAAATGGAAAAAACTCTGTTACAGAACAGTTACAACAATCTGACTGAAGAAAAAGACCAGTTTCAGAACAGTTACAACGATCTTTCTAAAATAAAGGACCAGCTAGAAAGTGAATATAACTCCCTTAGTGATCAAAGTAATAAGTTACGCTCCAGTTATGAAAGCCTTGAAAATCAAAGACTCCAGTTAGAGACAAAATACCAAAACCTCAGTGATCAAAGACGCCAGTTAGAGATAACATACGAAAACCTTTATAATGAGACCAGTTTCAATAATCTGGTTCAACAGATAGAGCAACTACAGACACGACTGGAGTCCATGGCCAAAGCCAAAAATGATAATCAGTGAAAGCTGGAAGATTACTATCTTTCATCTCCTCTCAACAACAAAAACACTCATTTTAACTGGGAAAAAAAACAGAAGTCTATAAGAAGAAACAATAACGGCATTCATATGTTCCAGTTATCTTTAAACTTATATCATTATACCAAATTATGTGCAGCAGCTTGCAAAACCTCGGTAATATCATAACCGCTAAATAACCTTTGTAATAACTGATGATTCGATTTGTTCATAAGAAGAAAGAGTTGTAATTAAAAGCTCCAGAAACAGCAAGTAAAATGGACTTTGTGATGAAGTCAAAGGGAGAGTTTTAGAAAATAAGCACAATACATAAAATTAAAATTTAAGATGTGACATTAAACGGTCTTTACTGATTACCGTCTACCATTCTGTAAATACACTGCTTCAAAAATTAAAGGAACACTTTTTAATCAGCATATAGCTTCAATTCAATTAAACTTCTGTGATATTGATCGGGTCAGTTAAGTTGCAAAGGGGCTTGTTAATCAGTTTCAGCTGCTTTGGTGTTACTGAATTTAATAACAAGTGCACCAGAGTGGCAGCAATGAGTCAACCTACTCAATTCAATTAATAATTATTGATATAGCTCCAAATCACAATAACATTCAAGGTGCTTTATATTGTAAAGTAAAGACCCTACAATAACACAGAAGGGTTTTACAGCTTTTAAGTTTTTTTGCCTTCCTCTTCTTCTTAAACTGTTTTTTCACTAGTTTTGTATTTGGCTGGGGTCAGTGTCACTATAGGGCAGGGATAGCTCAGTAGGTAGAGTGGTCGTCCCATGATCGGAAGGTTGAGGGTTCGAATCCACTGAACGGCTACCCTGAGGTACCCCTGAGCAAGATACCGTCCTTACACACTGCTCCCTGGGTGCCTGCTTAGTGGCTGCCCACTGAGTGAATGGGTCAAATGCAGAGAAAAACAAGTAATTTCCCCACGGGGATGAATAAAGTATACATTATTAGTATTATTACTGCTGGTAGTAGAGGTCAATATTTCAAGCCTTAAGCGGCTGCACAGAAATCAACACATGCCTTTGCCAGAAGGTTTTCTGTGTCTCCCAGCAGTCTCAAGAGCATGGAGGATTTTCCTGGAGACACACAGTTACTCTTATGTGTTTTGAAAGTCCCCCTTTGGTTGGCATACACTTGTGCATCTAAATGCATAATCACCACTTTCCATGTGTTTGCATCTGCACTGTACATATAAGCATAGATTTTTAGTAGGGAGCATGATAATTTACAACATGCAACTCAGTACTGTTGCTATCAGTAGCTAGATTAGACTTTATGGGAATATCTGGATATTGAGTTGATATAGACTTCAGAGGGACTTTTCTTAACAAAGACTCAAATTAATTAGTCTTTGTTTATATTCTTGTCTTATATTTTACCCCCCAAAAAACTTCATTGCAAAAAATTTGTGTACTAAATACTGAATAACAGAGTCTAAAAACACATTTTGTTTTGTTTTGGGGGGTTTTCTAAGCTTATAATGATGTGTTAGGCAAGAAAAGTATTGTCTATTATAATATTTGACTGAAAATAAAACCGCTTTGATGGAGCTTTACTTCAAATTGTAATTTAAATTGTAAATTTTTTTGTCCACGTTGACTTATGGTGTGCTGACAGTGTGTATGTTAGATTATTTTTTCTTCAACAGGAAGGTCAGTGTTAAGACTTTTTAAGTTATCAGTTGTAAAAATTAACATTAACAATTAACATCTTGTATCTTGTTGTTGTTACTTTTTCAATACCAGCTTTCCTGTTTTAATATAAATGTATCAGCCAAAGTTAGTTGTACTGCACTGTATGTGTGATGGTTCATGTGGAAATAAAATCAGCATTAAAAAAAACAAAAACATTATCTGTATGGGTTAAAGTGGGCCAGAAGGATCCAGAATAGTATTCCAGCACCTTCACTTGAGTGAGTTATTAAATTTGACTGGAAAGTTTAACCATATGACTTTGAAATTATTATACTTTTATTTTATTTATGTATTTTTTTTTGCTGCTCCCTGGCGTTGCATCCAGTTAGTAAATATCTCCAAAGTGTCCTAAGTATTAAAAATAATGACCTCCCAGCGCCAAAACATCCCTTTTTCCTTCTCATTCACTGTGATGCATTTATGGTGCACATACGGTACCTCAGCATGTAGCTAGCTCTGCTGAAGAGCATAAACAGAGTGGCAAATCGCTGCATCCTGTGGTAGAACAGTGAACCAGACCCTCACCTACTGTGGGAGGGTTACTTGTCTTTGTTGCCTTTAAAATAATAAATGATTTGCCGTTAAACCACAACATCCACAACATGCTAATGCCGACGGAAGATGGTGTTAGATTAACATGATCTTTGATTCACTGAACTGCCAATACAAATCAGTCTGATAAAATGCATACCTAATTATTTAATTAGGTATGCAGCTCTTGAAGGACAACTGCCCAGCAGAATACTGTAAGACTGACTAAAGATGT